TGTGTCAGCAGCAGTGGTCCAGCTCGTGCTTTGAGCAACATGGATTTCTAAGATGAAAAGCTCCTAACGTGTCGGTGCACTCAGTCATCTGTCTGCCCACCTCCTGTTTGACTCAACTGCTCCAACAAAGACAGTTTTCCTTGATTGTGGGGAAGTCATGCTGGATTTGCATGGAGCATGAATTTGAATCTAGCTGTTGGATTTCGTGCCTCGACAGGTTTTTTTAATTCTATTCCAAATTTTAAATTGCTGAGCAGAAATAACCTTGATGTGGCCTGTAAATCCGTGAACCTGAATTAAAAATTATACATTTTATGCTTTAAAATTGAGAATGTTTAATGCTTTGCAGCTCACTGATTATTAGTGTGCTTCTTTCTACCCCCTGCAAACCAACTGCAAACCTTATCTCATGATTTTTAGCTCCTTCAGCTTGTTCCCAGCCTCATGTTTTTGTGCCCTCTCTATCTCCTGCTTGTCAACATACACCACTTGTTTCTCCCAGCTGTGGAAACAATTCCAGTAAGTTCTAAATGCTGTGGTGCTGCATCTAATGCTGCTCAGTGTAGCAGAATTAGAAGGAAGAGAAGTTCCCCCAGCTACTATGAGCAGGTGTCTGCCTCTGCTCTCCTCCTTTGATTTTTATTTTTATTTTTAATGTTCTTGGTTGTTCTCCAGCTCATTGCTGCGTAAGAAAACGCTATGGCCTCATCATCATCTTTATTTTATTTTTTTTCTGGACTTCAACAAGTATCTTCTCATTGTCTGATGCTTTCTCTTAGATAACATAGTAAAAGTCCCTAGCCATTGTAATTATTAGTATATTCCTGGAGAAAATTGTGACAGTATATATTAAAGGGCTTCCTGCAGGAAGGTACACAGTAGGTATCCAATTGCTCTTTAAATAAAAGGCACTTGTAACAGTCAGGGGCTTAAAAGAGGAGAAGGGAAAGGGAGCAAATAAGATTTTGAGGGACAGTGGGGATTTACAGTGGTCAGAGCAGATAGTCATGCTGAATTATATGACTAATTAGTCTTCATTAGCAAATCAGAGCAAATTATGATATAGTGCCAATGTTGTGTAACATGCTGGGCAGAGAGTTTGTCTTTTTTTTTTTTTAATTTTGGTTTAATCTAGTTTATTAAAATACTGGTCTTGGGTTTCAGTGTTCTGCCAGCAGGTTAAGAGAATGTAGTTTATAACCCAATCCCACTACTACTACTGTTTTGTATGGTTATATCTGCTAGAATAAATCTCCTATTTTGCCAACCATCATTTTATGAGGTTTTCTAGGAAAAGAGAAGCTTAGAGGATGATCATCATGGCTGGTTAGATGTTGGCCTTTCTCTGACCCATGATGGACAAAGCCCAGCCATTTAAATTACACTTCTGGGTTTTGATGGGCAAGGAAGGATTTAAAGCACAGTTTGTGCTTTCTATTCTTTTCCATTTAGACAAATCCTTGTCAAGTCCAGTCTCTGTTGCTTGCTTCAGAGGAACTGAAGGGAAATGAGTATCTGATTTTTCCTTAAAGCCAACTGTAACTATATAAATGACTAATTCCTTAGCTCATGACATGTCATTTGTCTAACACAACTTGCAAACAAGATCCAGACTACAGGAAAAGAGTAGGAGGTATATATTCTGGTAACTAAAGAATCCTGTGAACTGCAGAGGACCTGTGCTAAACTAGTAAAATAAAGAGCTGTGTTTTCTAGACTTCATTAGCAGTTAGAAAGAAAGAAATAGAGGGAAGAACCCAACAGCCAGCAGGTTAGAAGTTAATTAGGAGCAGCAGTAAGGGACTGCTGTTTTACTCTGAAGCTTATGGGGTAGTTTAAAGCTTTTTAATGCCACTATAAAAGTTCTTGTGCTGGAAAGTCTTCTGACAAAGAAAAACAAGTCCCTGGGTAACTGAGCCAGGTTGCTGTCAGCTGTGGGGGTACCTGACTGCAGGGTTTCTACATCTGCCCAGCAACACTTGTTAAATCCTGCATTTCATTTATTGAACAGATTTTAGGGGGAGGGATCAGTCAGGATTGCACTTTGTCAGCAAAAGTGCTCTGCTTCTACTTTAACTTGAGCTGAAGAGTGAACCTCATTGCTTGGAACAGTGGAAGCTCAGGAGCGCTTAGGAGGCAAAAGCAACATGTACAAGCAAAGTAAACGGAGAAGCTTTTGTACTTGCAACAGGTCATAAAAAAAATGACCTAAAAATTGAGCTGTAGTAAACGAGAGCCTGACACTAGTTCTGTTCCAAAGCAACATTTGTTCACCTCAGTTTCTTATCTGATCTGATGCCACCGTTTAAACTCTGAGCAATAACGCTGCTCATCTTGGCCTGTTGAGCTTTTGCCATGCCATCCACATGCCATCTTGTGTGGGTACTGTGTGCCTCTGACAGAGCATCAGCTAAAGTATTGCCAAAAGGACTGAATACCAGCAAGTATGTAAGAAACAGTGAATAGGTTAACTGAGCTGTTGTGCCTTCATTTCTGGAAAACTTCACTTTTAAGATATAGGGAACGCTGAGGGATCTTGTAGGGAAAACAGAACTTTGTGCTGATGTGATTTGATACTGGATTGTATCTTTGTGGCCTGAAAAGACTATTGTAAACTACCAGTTTGAAAATCAATATGCTACAGACAAAATTTAGTTTTGTCACGTCTTCTGTAAGTTGTTTGTAAATGTATGCAGTCCTGATGACTTTGATCTAGAAGTTATCTGCATCTCTATTTTTCCTGCTCCTTCTGGTGCTTCTGCATTTGCTCCTTTCTGTTTGTTCACTGATTGTACCTTAATGCTTCTGTAATAGATTCCTGCAGACTTGTACTTTCCCAAACACAGCACACAACTTGGATAGAGTTTGGTATTTTACAAAGGTTCTCTACAACTACACTCTTCCCACTCCTTCTCCTAAAAGTCCTGCAGCCTTTGTCCTGCACTTCTTGTGTGGGAGGTATCATAAGCAGAGAGCTGTGAAAGGGTTAATGAGCCCAGGCAAAGTTAACAAGGGATGGGCAATAAATGGCTCCAGCTGTGTATAATTAACTGTAATACTGTGAAGTAAATGACTTTTATTGGCAAGCATGTCATAACTTCATTAAAAGTCATATTTACAGCCCTCTCACATGGAATGAGTGCTTGTGTAGTCTGCAATTTAATGAGCACTCATTTTCACCTTGTTCCAATTATCTCCCACCCACCCCTCCCTCTCGGTGTGGGGAGCATGAAGATGAAATACAATGGGAGTGTAATTAAGGCTGGCACGGATCCTTTCAGGAAATGTTTTTTATTCCAGCACAATCACTTCTATTGCTTACTACTAATAATACTTTTTAAGTGTTTAAAATACATAATTTTCTTTGGTCCCCAAAGTGTTACTTAAATAACAGTTATTAAAGAATGTCTCTGTGGGAAAGGTTTCCCAGGCCCAGAACCCCTGATAGCTGGGCACCTGAAATGCTGTGTCTAATGAGGCACGGTGACCTAACTGAGGCAGTGTACACAATAGGAAATTAGTATCACTTAAGAGGAAAATTGCAATTTAGCTTAATTACAACTATATCTGTGCTGTGCAAACCAGTGGAAAGCCCCCGTAGTACCTGAAGAAAGCTCCTTTTCTCTTTCCAGAGCGTTGTTCTGCGTAGCCCAGTGCTGCCTCCTGTTATCCAGGCACTTGCATTCCTGGTCAGGTAGCCAGAAAGGTCCAGGAGGAGGTCCAGATCAGACTTCTGAGGCATTGTGTGAGACTAGAGATGTGAATAAAGGAAAGGCAGTCAGACATGGGACTAGGGAGTCTACAGTGCAGTATTTCTCCTGGCACTTAAAAGCAGGTACACAACAGGGCATCTCAGTTTGGGACATGACTTGAGTTCTTGCATGCCTTACCAATTTACAGTTCACTTTCATTTTACAGCGAATGGCATGACTGGCCAAGCTGCTAGCAAGGTTGTGTTCTCATTTTGTCAGCTGCACATTTCTCATGGGCTGTACAGTAAGTATAACAAGACTGTTTTTTCAGCACCAACTATGTTGTGGTCCCAGTTCTTGACTGACAAGTCACACTTAATAGCCCAGCACAACACCGTATGTGGACCTTGTAGAGTGGCATGAGAGCTTGCGGTTGGCTTCTCTTTGTATTGTAGAGCAGCAGTCATTCCCGTACCGCTGCAGGGCCTCATTACAGATTTCAAAGTGGAGATGATGCTGCCTGTTGTGGTAGCTGAGCAATCTTTGGGAAGAAGGGGGATGTGTTCCTCTGATGGATGCTAACAACTGATATCCCTTGGGATCTACTCAGGGGTTCAGAATGAAGTAAGGGTTATGGGAGATTAATTACTGGGCACTGCAAGTGACGTGATTAGAAACACATGATAAATGATTTATCTCATGGCACAGCGTAACAGCGGAGCAGTCTGTTATTCTTACCAAACACACATGTTACGTTCACTGCTAAGAAAATGAATTAGAAGTTAAAGATCAAGGACTAGATCCTTTGCAGCTATAAATCAACTGAGAAATTACAATTCATAGTAGCTAAGAATTTGAACCAGATAGTTATGCAGGTCCCTTTAATAAAAAGAAGCCTCGGTAGGGGCTTTAGCCTGATATCTGTGTACTAGTACAGCTCTGCTTGGGCTAGTTAACTAGTTATAAGGTATTCAAGGTTAGCATGAATGTTGTTCCTTTGAGATGGTAAAGCAGCGATGCTGGCCTCTTTGGGCAGCATTGACAGTGCCTCTCCAATAAAACTACTTTGATGTCATCCAACAACTCACTTATTTGCTCCCACATAAGGGGATGGTGATGAGGCCAATTATTTTTATATGAAATGCCTAATAATTAAGCAAACTGTAGCTGTTTGTAGGGTGCTGACAATGCTTGTACTTGATTGAGAAAGGCTGGTAAAGCTTAGTAAAACAGAGCACCTGCCCTAGCAGGAAGAGTACCCCTGCCTTGACTCATCTGGCAGGAGCTGAGCTCTTGTCTCACCTTAACCCTAACCCTTTCCCAGACTACAAGCTATTAGCTGCTTTTATGACCTTGTTTTGGCACTAACAAAGCTGCTAGATTATTCATAAGCAAGAAGATCAGATGAGTTGTGTGAATTCTAACAGCTGATCTGAAAATGCTACAGCTTTTTAAGCTCTGTAAGGATGGGAGGGTTATCTTAAGAGGCCTGTCAGTGTAGATTACTGTCTGTGTTACAGTGATGCTTGAATGCCTCTAACAAGGTATTCCTGTGCTGAGCTGAGTGAGACACCCTCCACGTATTGCAGATCTTGCCATGCAAACAGTCGAGATAACTTCTTACCCTATCTTGGAGGTGAGGGGAGCTGCAGAGGCACTAAGTCTGGAGAGGCTTTACAGCCAGCTGGGTAACGCTTGCCTTCCAGTGACAGCGTGGCCAGCTGCCAATTTATTTATCCAGGTCTGTATAATGGGTTGCAGTCTGCAGAGAGCTGTGTGCCACTGGTGCAAAAGGGAGCACAAGGACAGCCACTAATGAGCGTGGGTTGAGGTTGTCTGTGCCGCGGTGTCATTAGAGCAGCACGTGTGTGTAACTCCAGTGACTTGCCTGAGGTTACACAAAGTCTGTGCAAGAGCTGATCTCTCAGGTGGAGATTTTTCTGCACAAGATGTTGGATTCTCCCAGTTGTTTCTCTGTGCAACTCAGTGCCCTGAACCCTTCCATGAGCTCTGCTGAACTCAGTCACCTTTGAACAGAATTATCAGAGGGTTCATGGTTGTATTTAACAGTGCAAAAATCATTCAACTGACATTAAAAGAAATCCATACTTTTCTAGGAAGTTAAGGCTGAAATCTGGCTTTTGAGAAGTATTACCAATCTTTCCGAAAGATTTTGGTCATGTTATCTTCAGACTTAGCATAAGGACAGTGCTGTCACTCTAAAGAATGAAAGTGCAGTTTCTGTATTGTGACACAAACCTGCAGCAGCTTCCCAGGACGTTTTGGTTTGACAGAGTACAGACATGTCTATGCTGTATCCTCAGGAATGTTTTCCCATTCGCTTGCTTTCCAAAGACTTGATGCAGTTACTGTACAGCCTTGTTTAGCAATTAAGATGCTCTCCTGCATACTTTACATCATGAATATCATTGATAATTGTGCAATACAGTAATTGAAGATAGCAATGATTAATTCCTGCGATAAAACTTGTCCTTGGAACAATTGATTTTACTGCCAGAAATGTACAAGCATCCTGATGGAAATACTCTCACATAATTATTGTTATTAGTTTAAGCTTGTTGGAGGAGGGAGAAATGAAAAAATCAATTACTTTGGATTTGTCATCACTAATCTGTTATGATCACTTTAATACAGCAGTGTTATAACTCAAGGCATGGCTTTCCTAATTCATGAGCTATTAGAAAAGTTTACAGAAATTGTAAGAACTGAAAAAAAAAAAGAAAAAGAAAAGAAAAAGATATCACAAGAATTTTTTACAGCTGTTAAGTTGTAGGACACTTCCTTTTCTAATGCCCCTGTCTTATTAAAAAAGCAATGATGGTGAGGGGGGTGGGGAGGGAGAGGGAGGAGGTATCAGCAGACTGGTGGTTTGAGTTCTAGGTTTGTCCCTAGCTGAGCTCACACAATTGCTGTGCATGAACCAGCCTAAAGCTACTTGCTGGAGGGAATATTTGGAGCATATTTTTGGACAGCTCTTAAACTTGGGTCTGATTTTTTTAACGGGATGGTAAAGAGCACTGAAATTATTATTTACTGGTCAACAGTTCTGCAAAACCTGGCTCCTGCAGCTGCAGGAGTTAAACCTATTTTGAGAGTTCATATTCACTCCACAGGAATGGAATGACTCCTGGTATGTATTAGTGAAACTTGAAGGAAATTGATTACAAATCCAACAGAAGAATGCTGCTCATCTTTGAAGCATCTCATGTTCTTATTTTCTTCTCTTAAGCAAGTTTAGAGACCATGAGAGCACAGAATGTTCCTGCTCGCTTGCAGGCTTGGTGGGACAAGCTGATCAGCCAAGTTCTCCTGTGAATTTTTATGGCAGCTAAACTGACTTTGCAATTTAGAAAACTTATTTCTGTAGCTTTACATAGATTTCTGTTGCAAATAGGAAATCTATTCCACTTTTTTGACTTATACTCATCAAATATCTGTCAGGTCCATCTTATTGTACTCAAGCTGAATGAACAAAAATTAAACGTAATAGCCACTCCATTACATTCTCCTGCCTAATGTCATCAACTTCTCTTGGTTCTTTTAGTTGAACTTTTGTACTAGTGGATTTGTTAAAATAAGAACCTCGTAAGAGTGCATCTCTGGCTGCTCTTAGGATGCTGACAGTTTGGCAACAAAGGCAGTGCTGCTTCTATGCACTACTAAGCAAGAGTGAGTCCTGACACTATTCATTTCCCCTCCTTTGTGCCCACCTTAACTCTTGTCTGTTTTGGTAGCAGTGCAAGGGGGAGGTTGGTTGTACCAAATTAAAAAGACTGATGTATGCAAAGCAGAGCAAGTGGTTCTGATGTGTCGGTACTGGATCATCACAGGATGGGTGTCAAGGGGCTAGAGGGCATCACAGAGTTGTCTTTCATACAATACCATTAGTAGTTTGAATATTCTTAAGTTGATATGTTACCCTTACTTCCCATACCTTGGCAATTGTATGACTTCTGTGTATCTTCCGTTTGGCAAGTGAGGGCAATAAGCAGTTCATTTGATTTAGCTAATGCTCTAAAATTTCTATAGTTAAAGCCATTTACAAAGAAGCTGTCGCCCCCCCATCCATAAGGGTGGGAGAGTAGCTTGGGTCCGCGGTGTAATCAGGGAAACAGACTGTAACAAGCAAAGCTCTAGCAGTGCATGGGCTCCAGATTGTAGCAAGTAGCAGTTGCACGCTGCTGGAGCAGGTATTAAGCTGATAAATCATCAGTGCATATTCTGTGAGGAGGCTTTTAAAAGAATTATCAGGAGCAGGAAGCAGACTGGTAGAAAAAAGGAATTTTCTCTCTAATGGCTGCTGGAGGAGGTATTTACTAGGAGCTGTAATCAGAGCTGGGTAGGCTATAGCACAGGAGTGCCTTTGTGAGGCGGGTGGTGTGTTGCAGCATAGGATGGATTACAGCTGAAATAGACCTGCAAAATGATTCATTTTTTTTTTTGTTTAGGTAGTGTAGTATAGAAACTATCTCAGAGTTCTGCACTTATGAAACAAAACAACTTACCAGAGACTGAAACCAACGAGGGTTTTTCCCGTTGCATTCCCTACAGAAAACTTGTGTGTGTACGGGGGTGGTGAGCTGGGTCTCAGGATGGGCAGAGCTCTAGATGTCTTTTTGGGCAGCTCAGTGCCTGACCCGCTGACCAGACTGCAAATGTGCTCAGGTCTGACCCAATGGTTAGATGGTCTCTATTGTTTGTGCTGATACTGAAGTTCTTCTAAATCACCCCCAAAATACAGGAGGGCAGGTAGCTAGGGTCTGTGAAGTGACTGAGTGCGCTAGTGATCTGGACTATTCCACTTCCAACCCTTATTCTAAGGGTTTAAAAAGTACATTCTGAGTCCACAGAGAGGAATTGCTGTATGTATCTGTTCTTATATGAGTTAAATATGTTAGTATTACTGCACATCAAAGACCTTTGTGTATTTGTACGTGTACCTGAGGCCAGTACTATAGTTTTGTATTGTTAGAAATCCTTTTAGCTACAAGAACATTAAGCTGAAACCAATTATTTACAGAGTTGGTGAAATGAGCCCTCTGTCTACTTTGTAATAAGAGCCTACAAGGTGTTAGTGTTGTTATTGGCCCTGTCAGAACTCCTTTCCAGAATGTAAATCTATGGCTGACTTTTACAGTGCTGGCCAAGGAGGTTCTGTGGCTAATCAATATTTTGTGGGCAGTGAGCCAATGTTAAGGCCAAAGTGTTGAGTAATGAGAAAAGCAAAGAATACGCGAACTTGATGCTTTGAAGTTCCATTGTCAGTGTAAAGATTTAGGATATTGCATCTGACCTGCAAATATTTCTCAGAAACCTACAGCATTAATGTTTGGACAATCCTGCTGAAAATCATGGGTAAGAACATGATAAAAGAAGTCTCTGAGCACTGAAATGAAATGCTATAGTATTGTTAATTTTAGTGACTGGGGATGATGTGAACATCACGGATGTTACAAATGGCAAGTTACCGGACAGTGGATTTTTGTGGAGATTACACTCAGGTGGCCCCAGCAAGACTGGGAGGTCACTTCATTCATTCTTAAGTGTACTTAACAGTAAGCCCTGGCTAGGACCATCAGCCATAAAGGTAACAAACTGCCCTCCTCTGGGGGACAGGGATACAATTCTAATGGTCAGGGGGGGTCTCTGGCTGCTGTGTGTCCTCTCCTAGTTATCTTCCTGAATTCTGAGAGCTTTGTGACAAAGCTGTGCAACCCGGTGCTCATCAAAAGAATCGAAATGCCAAATATGTCAACCTGCACTGAAGCATCTACTTCAAAATTAGTCTCCAGATTATCTGATTCATCATGTTATGCCTCTTAATAGAGATTAACTGATTGTTTCTGCTTTGTAGTATATTTATGTGTCATTATCGTAGTTATTCATTTCAGGGTGCTATTGCACTCTTTTGTTGCTGATGTTTTCATGGGCGTACTACATCACCACATACATGGTCACCCTAACAAGTCTGTGCTCAGCTGCATGTCATCCTAATATCTTGCTTGCTGAACCTGCAGTGACTGTATGAATATGCTGCCCTGAATGATGGATTTATATTATGATAATGTGCAAAACTTAAATGCTCTCACTAGGGCTTAATGAATGCATCCCAGTTAAAAATAATTAATTCTGCTCTCAGGGATTGATTTGGACCACAGGATCAGTAGCGTAGCTAAGGCTTCTACCCTTAGCCCTGAAAACAATTTTCCCAGCAATGAAGATTAATCCTTTTTTATTGTGTTGATGAAATAACAACACGATCATAAAGCATAAGAGAACAAGGGGAAGTTGACAAAGTATATCTTTGATTAATTGCCGTAATAGATTGCAGGTTGCTGACTGAGGAAATTTTTTCAATACTCATTTTTCAGTGTTTAAAACCTTAATGTGAAAGGGGAAGACAAAGAAGAAACAGCTAGCTAAATGCCATGAACAATTTTATGCATGTGAGCCACCTAGCAGAGCAGCCTGAAGGACAGCTGCTGTTACCTTGAGTGGGAACTCTGAGACAGCAGGACAGAAGGACAGTGCAATGGTTAATGTGATAAAGTGGGGCTTTGGACCTAGCTGCGGTCCCTACCTGCCACCTGGGTATCTGTAGCTTCATCTAAATTATGCTAGCTAAGTGCTAGAGCTTGTACTGAAATAGTAACTTTCTTTGTAGCGTGTATGTGGTGCTTATCTTCAGTTTGGGATGAGGTCCTGGTACCCTGAGGAGCTCACCTATGTTAAAGATGACCATGTGCTGCAGGACTTTGGGACTGAATTTCTCAGCTCCTGCAGTGTCACGACAGAACACGTCAGCACCAAGGTAAGAGACTTCTCTACATGTTGAAAGTAGCATTGTTTTGTGCAAAAAGCTTGTTGCAAAAAAATATAACCTGTATTTTTAACTTGTTATTTGGTCATCCACTGAAATTCCTTGGCATTTGAAAATCTGAGGAATTTGTAAACTATCAGCAGTCCACAGATGATGAAACTGAAGCATGGGAAAATGTAGAACTTGAACTTAAAGAATTCTAAGCACAGCTCCACAGTTTTCCAAAGCTTTTTCACTTCTGACTCCAGCAGGGGCTGTGACAGCTCAGAATCTAAGATCACACCTCGGAGTGCCACTTGTGAAAACATTAGCCAAAGTGACTTACTTAACTTATCAGAGAATCAGTGGTGCAGACAGGTCTAAACCCAGGGTATCATGACTCTTCCAATTAGTTTAGGTAATTAGGAGAAACAGCGATAGTCACTAATTAAGAGTGGGTTGTTGCTCAGTTAGATGGGCTTTGGTACATACGCTTCCAAAAGAATGGAGGACAGATCCCCAGGAGGGACAGTTACTCTGGTAAAGATTCCAGCAGCTGTTCCAAATGATGCACCATGGACCTGTAAATTTAGCAGATTTTGTTTTCTTTTCTCGTTTTGAAACTAACTGCTGTCACATTAGAATCAGCTCAACTATTTAAAATTTTCCCCAGAGAGGCTAGTAATTAAAGTACATTTTTCCCCTTCAGTTGCCAATCATGCAACTCTAAAGTGGGTCGTCACCTATCTTGTTAAACAAAAATCCTCATGTTCAATAAGCAATACAATTTCCCTCTAGGGAGGGGAAAAATCAAAATTAGGAGGAGATTGAGGTGCTAAAAAAAAATGCCTGTGCTTGGTTTATTGGACCCCCACCTCCCAGAGCAAGCAAGTCAGACATACCATGAAGTTAGGTGCTTTTTTACACATTGTGCTGCTTCCATGAGCTCAGTTCATCATTTGCCTCTGCCTCCTACAGAATGCAAGGAGATGCAACCTATTTTTGCCGGTGAGAATTTACTTCTTTCAGTTTATTTTTGCCTGGATGAAAAGCATACAGATAATATCGCATCTTAGCTAACCTGAGGTGCTTTGGAGCACTGCTGAAACTTGCCCTACAGACACCTTCTAGGTTCCCTGGGAATGCAATTGAGAATGGAAGAGCCTGCACTAATAACGAGCATAAAGTTGAGAGGAGTGTAAGCAGTGTCAGGGATTTATCCTGATACTGTGGCAGGGCTGGGTTCTCTGTCTGAGGAACAGCTGCCTCTCCTCGAGCAAAATAAGCCATGACTGGGAGATGTTTGCTTGCCCTTACTGGAGGGCGTACGTGGCTGCCCTCGCTCTGCACTCCCAGACAGGCACAGCAGTGGGGAAGCGATGCTGCGAGGCAGTGGTAGGAGCACAGAGGATGCTTTCACTGCCCATATGCGTTAGTTAGACAACTCATTCCTTCAGCTACCTGGGAAGCTGACTTTCCTGCAGCTATCTCCGTGACATAATGAGCTGCCTGTCTCCTGACACCCGGACCCTGGGAGAAAGGAGGCAGAGCACAACCTCTGCCAGGGCTGCTGCCCCAGCAGCTTGATTCGCAGCGAGGTGCTGCAGCCTGCAGTACCATCTGCTGGCTGACACCACCTCTGCTCCCGAGTTCCATCTTCGTCTCGGCAGAACTGTGTTCCCTGCTAAATTACCTTCAAACTACAGGAGAAAGCACTATAGCTATGGAAAAATAAGCATTTTGACATGCTGCTTCTATTGCACGGTGGGACAGTTATTTCTTTAACAGACCTTAGATAGGTGCAAGCTATCAGGCACCGCAAACTTTCTCAATAGCAAGTTAGTGCTATGCAAATACAGCAACCTCATTTAGTAATGACTTCATGGCCCATTATATTTAACTGATTTTTACTGTAATTGTTTGAAGAACTTAATGAATTGCACTTAACTATTTAATATTTATTCATGTAATAGCGAGCTGATAAATGGAATGAGGGACAAGGCACTGTTTGATTTGCCCTCTGTACAGTAAAGCAGCCCTGTTCTAAAAGGGGCAGAGAACTCAGCACAGGATAAGGCATGTGTGCCTACTTTGATTCCTCTCAACCTCCTTTACCTGTCCTGAGAAGAGGTGGCTCTATTTTTGGAGCTTATATGGCCACTAGCAATGCCCAACAAAATGCAGAGGATAACAAACTCCATGTATAATAAGACTCAACTGGCTTTATGTACTATAGCTCTTCTTTCATGATCTTCAGCTGGATGAAATTAATCACCACTATTAGTGCTATTACAGCACTGCACACTTTCATACAACAGCTCTATAAACATTTAAGCTTCGCAAGCCCTGTTGGTGGAGCTCCATAACAACAAAAATGTCCGTGACTTTTGTGCCCACGGTAAATCTCATATGGATCCTATAGAGGAGTTGATGTACAATCATGTAGCAATTGTCTTGTCTGCTAGCATTAGATACGGAGCCACAATGAAGATGAGTTATCTGCCATGCAGACAAGGAGCTTCAAGCATGGCCCTTTAACATCGTGGTGTGCTGTCCTGTATGTGCAGCTCTCTGCATTTTAATATGCCAGGCAGTTGAACTTGCTTTTTTTCTATGCATGAGGCGCTGTGCACGTGGCAGTAACTGGGCACTCAGGGGGTCATAGGCTGAAACAGTGTCACCTCAGAAACAGGGCACAGAGCTGAGGCAACAGAATCAAGGTCATAAAACCTTGCTGCAGAGGTGAAAAACAAGACTCAGGACTCGTGTGTTATGTATGCTAATACCTGTAGTAGAGCTGAACTCTCATCATAGAGAGATGCTGCTTATTGGAATGAGTGAACTCTGTCAAGGGGTTGTATAACTGATGCTAATGAGAATTGAGACAGCACAAGATAATATTCCCACATCACAGATCTCAAATAGGAGCCAAATCTGTTTTGTTGGCTGAGAGCTGAGAGAATTTCTGTTGTCAAGAAAAATGTCCTTGGGACTCCTCAGGCATAGCTCTGCTTTGTGCGAGCAGCACATTGCTGCAGTGTTGTCCTGACCAGGGTGTCGTCTTATGAATGAGCCATGAAAACTTCTCTTCACCTGTGAGGAATCATTCTTCCCATCCACTGTTGGTTCATGAAATAACTATACTTCTATCAAGAGTGGAAGTGAAACAAATGTAGTTCTTGATGCAAAATATTCATATAAACAAAGCCACGAAACAAGACCTTGTGAATTCTCCCTTCTGCATCAGAACGTCCAGATTTTGCATAACTTCATGTATAGCTCCACAAGAATTTCTGGTTTTATTTTTATATAAAGCACTGTGTACAACTTGCAAGTACTATCTTAGTATTTCTGTGGCACACTTTTAGACATTTTATCATTATTCTTCATTTAAAATGTCAGCCTTGTTCTGACAAATCTTCTGTGCTTGGTTTGAATAGCTTTACAGGTGTCAGGCCAGAGCTGTCAGAAATAGTGATAAAGACTGCACATTTTCTTTCCTAAGAGTAAGCATAAATTCCCGTGTAGGAAGACTGGATTGTACTGTTACTGCAAATTGCAGGTTTTCCTATACATCAGGATCTCTCCACAGTAAAATCTAGAGACTATTTTAGTTAAATCTGGAGTTTCGTTTTTAGCAAAATAGTATTCTTCCTGTCTCAAATACATCTCGCCTGTTAAAGCTTTGACTTCCCATCTATTTTCTCTCCTGCTGGGCAGATACACATGTTTACAAGGGGTCATGACAGGAAAGTTCCTGTCTTGATTGCTGTGTTCCAGCCAGGTTCATGCACCAAGCTTTGTCACCGTATTCTCTAGGCACAGGAGAAAGAAATGGTTAAGAACCAAATCTCGGTGGGGAAGGAGTTCTGGGTCATGGGATCTCAGTGCAGAAACATGGAATTTTCTTCCATTTCTACGCCTTTCCAAGCTCAATGTGAGGGTAGGGAGTCTCAAGAAGAAATTCCCATGCTGCAGACTTCTGCCCAATTGTTTTTAATTTGGTAGTCCAGCTTCTCTCCAAGCATCAGGTACTAGCTGGAGTCAGCATAATGACTTGATGGGCTAATGAGCTGATATGATTTGCCAGACTACAGCATCCTTAAACTTTCTCCATTTGCACCTTGGCAATATTGCTTACATGTCAAAAAGATGGTTACAGCATGCGGGAAATTAGGGTTGAAAGTCTGCCACAAGACTAGGGAAAAATAACAGAGAAACATCACTTTTGAGATGAGTTTTGCTGTTGTCCACACAGGTAACTCCATGTCACTTTTACGTAAGGGTAAGGGTGTGATTTCTCTTCAGTCACAAGGAACTTCTTCCATCTGTTTCACTATATTCCTCTGGAAACCCCCTAACAGAGTAAGAAGCACATGCAGGGTTTCCAATTAAGAGCTATGAATAGTAACAGTGAGGATATGCGTTCTGAAATCCATCCATTAATCAAACACTTCAGTGTGCAGATGCAAGTAATGTTCCCCTAAAATTGTAGTAACTTTAAAAATTGTTTCAATGTAAAGTCTCTCTTCCCTTGTTCTCCCTGCTGAATTGCATTTATAACAGAAAAGCCAATCCAAACAGTAAGAGCTTACTAAGGAAAAACAAGTCAAAACAAAAAGGCAATTTAAATCTGTGCAATTTCCTCAATTTTTCTTGTATGTCCTGGTTGCTGGTCCTCAAGGGATAGCTGCACTTTCTGATCAGTACTAATACAAAATTCATATTTGTCTGGGCTATTATGTGCAAAGTAATAGGTAATCCCTCAGGTTAGAGTGAAAAGCAAGTCAAACATTGCAGGAGACCTTTCCATTTTGAAAGATTTTGGAAATAAGCACAACACAAACATATAAGGGGATCCAATTATATGTAAACAAACTGTTATTGCAGTCTCCTCCTTAGAAAACACAATTAGATTGCCAACAAGATTGCTTTTGGATTACTTGGATTAAGCATTGTATTCAGAGGCTTATGAAGTTCCTGGGATTTCATTTTTTTCTGAATCTTTAAGT